TTTCTTATTTTTGGTTTCTATGAAATTTCAAAGTTATATTTCTTTGACATAAATCATCGAAGGAATCTGAATCCCTGACATTTTTTTTCTTTCGGTGGAATTTTAATCAGGATTTAAAGCAGCGAAGATTTGTGAAATCAGGATTCAAAATTCAAAGCATCATGTAAACATCTTACCAAAATTGTGGAGTTGAGGAAATTAATTACAGGCTAATTTTCTTGTCACAGACGTTCTTCATGATTCATGGTTTTAGCACCAATTGGCTGAGGATCAAAGGAATGGGATCACCTAAAAGAAAGTGAATCCATGTAATTATTATTCGAGTTGATGAGATGTTCTACCCGCTAAATGTTTCCTCACTCTTTCTCTCTGTTTTTCTTTTTGCAAACTTGTTTCTCTTCTTTGGTTCTCTTCAAACAATTGTTTCTTCATGGAAATTATGGCATCCAAGCAATTACCCCGTTTATTATTCAAAGGAAATTGAAACCTGCAGTCCTAGTAAATGACATCCCCTAAGCAGAGCCACTGGAAGCCCTGTAGAGCTAATGGTTTATCGCCTGATCATGATCAAAGCCTGCTGCTTCTTCTGGGCTTTGTTTTCAACGATCAATCGTGCAAGGAGTTAAGCTATGGGATAGACTAGACTGATCTTTTATGGAGCTGATTAGCTGAGCAAATGCATCCGTTTTGGCTAGTGGCCTATTCTGGTAGTCAATTAGTACGAAAATTAAGTGTTTAAGAAAATAAAGTGAATATGGAGTTTAATTTAATTAATTATATTTAAAAAATAAATTTTAATAAATTTAAAATTTAAATTTCAATACGTATAATTTTTTTTATCTCAATATCTATTTACATTAAAAGGATTGTGAAAATAAAAAGACTTTGATTAAAATGAAAATCATTGGTAAAAAGATTAATCAACAGGACTACAACCAAAGATGGATCACGTCTTATTGGAGGGAAATTTTGTTTGTATTTTATATTAAGAGATATAAATGATACTTTAACATTAATAAGTTATTTAGATTTGATTTAAATAAAATTTGAATTCGATTCGATTATTATCAAATTATGTTCAAATTCGAGTAGCTTAACTCATTGATTGAGTCGAGTTCAAATATTTTTATATCCGACTCAAGTAGTTTATGAGTCTAATCAAATTTTTATATTTAAATATATTTTTATTATTTTAATTAATAAAATATTTCGAGCTTGAACTCAAACTCGAACACAAAAAATTAAATTTTTATCAAATATAAAAATCGAATTTACTTTTACATGTTATAGACACCCAATTGGATCCAAGTCCAGATCAATTGGGCCTGACCAAATGGGTCAGGCTCAGATCAATTGGGCCTGGTCCAAATGGGTAAGGCCCAATTGAATTTTTATCCTGTATTTTTTTTCTCTTTTTTCTTTTTTGTATATCTGTATTTATTTATTTTTATTTTGAATATATTTATATGTATATAGTTATATATTATTATATTATTATTATTATTTTTTTAATATATTTTTGGGTTTATCTTATTTTATTTTTTTAAATTATCTGTTAATTTTATCTGATTCTTTTTGATTATCTGATTGTTATTTTTTTTATTTATCCTATCTTTTCTAAATTATCTATTTTTTTTTATTTATTTGATTTTGGAGGGCTGGGATTGAAAGTTGAAGAATCCCATTGGGAATGGGAATTCAATCAGAAGAGTCCAGACTGGATTCAAAGATTGAATTCCCGTCCAAAGGGGAATTGGGATTGATCAGAAACTCCTGATCAATCCCTATATAAAGGACCCCTGAGGTAGACTGAAAAACACAGAGAAAACAGTAAGCAAAGCTACTGATTTGAGAGAAAAAGAGGCGTATAGGAAGTTAGGAAAAGTTTAGGAGTGTCCTGGGAGTGAGAAAAAATTTATAAAAATTTTTGGCGAAAAATTTTCTGGAAATTTCTGGGAAATTTCCAGATTCCGACGAAAATTCCGACGAAATTTAAATTTTTCGGCAACAAATTCCGGCGAACATTGAAGTTTCCGGTGACCTGCCCAGTTTCCGACGAAGAATCCCAGAAACCGGCAATATTCCGGCCAACTTTCGATGAAATTTCCAGATTCCGGCGACATTTTCCAGAATCCGGTACCGTTGTTCTTCAGATTTTAGAGAGAATGGAGAGGAAAAGGGAAGAAGAGAGAGAGAGGGGAGGAGCGTTCTGTCGAAAAACAAAGGGATTGCCTTTTATACCCTCCCAAAACGACGTCGTTTTGGCCTTAAGTAACCAGAGGATCCGCGCGTTTTGCCTAACCCGACCCGACCCGAGAGTCGACCCGCTTTCTTGACCCGCGCGTGCTGCCCCTCCTCCAAGCCGAGCCGAGCTTCCAAGCCGCTCCCCCGAGCCGTTTCTCTTCCTTGAGTCGAGCCGAGCCGAGCCGAGCCTCGATCCGAGCCGCTCCAGGTTTTTTTTTTTCATTTATTTGTTTATTTGTTTTTTTATTTTATTTATTTATTAGATTAGGTTTATTTAACATTCTTTTCATCTTTATTTTATTTTTATTTTGTTTTTTTATTTTTAGTTATTTTCACTTTCATTTTTTTTTATTTTATTATTCTATTTTCTTTAAATGAAAATCCAAGTTTCCAAAAAATATTTTTGGGGAAAAGTTTAAAGTATCAATTTTTCTTAAAAATAAAATTTCAAAAAAAGGGTTTTGAGGAAAAGTTGAAAGTATCAATTTTCCTTAAAGATCAAAATTTTCAAAAAATTATTTTTAGGGAAAAGTTGAAAGTATCAATTTTCTTTGAAAATCGAAATTTTCAAAAAATTATTTTTGGAGAAAAGTTGAAAGTATCAATTTTCTTTGAAAATCGAAATTTTCAAAAAATATTTTTAGAGAAAAGTTGAAAGTATCAATTTTCCTTAAAAATAAAATTTCAAAAAAAGGGTTTTGAGGAAAAGTTGAAAGTATCAATTTTTTTTAAAGATCAAAATTTTCAAAAAAATATTTTTAGAGAAAAGTTGAAAGTATCAATTTTCCTTAAAAAAAAATAATAAAATAAATTTTCAAAAAAATATTTTTGGAGAAAAGTTGAAAGTATCAGTTTTCCTTAGAAATAAATTTTCAAAGAAGAGGATTTTTGAGGAAAAGTTGAAAGTATCAATTTTCCTTGGAAATCAAAGTTTCAAAAAAAAAATATTTTTGAGGAAAAGTTGGAAGTATCAATTTTCCTTAAAAATAAATTTTCAAAAATATATTTTTGGGGAAAAGTTGAAAGTATCAATTTTTCTTACACAAGAACAATCATTCTTTCCTTCCTTTCTATTTTGACTTTGATTTTGATTTTTCTTTAACTAATCCGACGACGGAGCCTCTGTAAGTGAAACAGTAGTTTTTCTTGCATACTCTTAAGGTGAGGGAATTTTCTCAATTTTCTGCTAAAAGTATTAGAGTCAATTGAGAATAATTTCTAATAATTAATTACTTGATAAAATTTTAAGGCTTTTGGATAATACAAATTTAAGCTGGTACCATCTTTTGATGGGCGTTGTGAGGGTGCTATAACCTTCCTTACACGTAACCGAATATAATTTTTTTATATCATCACCTATTCTTGATTAAATAGAATCAAAAATGACGATTCATATTCTACCAGAAAAAATTGTTATCCCAACTAATGAGCATTTGAATACACATGTTAATCGAGTTTAATCGAGTAAGTTAGAATAATTTGATTTTTATCTCGAATCTAGTTCGAATTAAAAAAATAATACTCGATCGAATTTCGAATTAAATTTTGAGCTTCAAATTTCGAATCAAATTCGAACTCAAACTTAATATTATATCAACTCAAATTCGATTAGTTACATCTTAATTGTATAACCTAACTTTTTAAAAACCAAACTAATCAGCCTCTTGTTCCGTCTTATGTGGTTTCATCTTTTAATATATTAATCCAAATTATTAATGTTCTTACGTGATTGGATTGTCCTATAATGCTGTTGGCCTAGCAAAACCAAAAAGCAAAACATGTACACTGTCGTCTAATCATCATATAGTCCAAGAAATCAAGAAATTAAGAATTTTGGGTAATATGCCTTACCATAGATTGCTATATCAACCCAACACAAAAAAAGGGTATTAATTTAGGTTAACAGCTAAGTTTAAGACACTTAACTTTGTCCCTTAATAACTAATCATGTTTGTCCCAATGGTCTTCTAATTGTGGTACCTCTCTATGTCTTAATAACAATTAACTTTTGTCTTAGTTGCTAATTATCCGTTTTGTTTAACTTTCTCATGATTTTTTTGGTATTTGAAATTATGAGTGATCACGAAATTGTTAGCGTGGCATCAAGATTCTGTATCATTGATATGACTCGCTTCTCAAGTTTATGTTTTATCACGAGAAAGCATGTGCTTCAACTTTGAAATTATTGTTCTTCTCAACTTTGATCCTTAGTTTTGTGTTTGTCTTTGCCTCGGATTCTTGTTTTGTCAATGTTTTTACCGACGCTAACTTTTCTAACCGATTTTGCTTCGTCGTCTTTTTAAACCCTCTTTTACTTTCACCTACAACAACTATATCTACGACAATCAGAAATCTCTTTTACTAAACCTCGCAATCGGCCACGTACTTTTGTACTGTTCCTTTGTTTATGTGTAAACTGTAAAAGACTGAAGTAAAAGCAGGAAAAAAGAAAAATCTTACCAAACAAACAGAAAATCAGTGATGGAAAGCCATGTCATTTATATATTACTAAAATCTTTGAATTTTAATCGATCTTCACAACCTGAAAATCATAACATGTATATGCTAGCCTCATATTGCATATTGCATTTTGTTCAATATGCCTCTACTTAACTCAATCGATTTATATAATTATTTAAAAAAAAAAATTCATCACGACTAAAATTTGAATCTCATGACGACAATGCTTTTTTTTATTCCTAAATATAATCTTTATTTGGGAGAAAAACCAATCCAATAAGATTGAATTTATGCACAACAGTTGATTAAAATTACATGTGGGCTAAACTAAAGCCAATTCTGTTAGAGTCTAGCCTTCAAAAGAAAAAAATAAAAAAGTGGTACTAACTCTATTGTATGCTAACATAAATATCAAAGCAGTACATTTATGAATTGTGTTAGCATTACTGAAAAAGGATTATTGGCAACAAAGCAAGAATAGTCTTAGCCGCCTGTCAAATGCGATGATTAGTAACAAACACGCCATGAAGGAATGACATGGAATTGTGCTCTGCAAACAAACAAAAATGGTATGCATTCAAGCACTAGAGTCAGCAGGAAAGCCCGTCCAGTGAAAAATAAGGCCTGGTAAATGCCAACTGCATGACCAGATTAATGGCCCTACCACAAGGCAGACACAAAATGGCAGACAAACGATTCAATTATTCAAAGCGGCCAAGATACGATAATGATGAAGTTCCCCACCATTTTTTCCCGAATGAACTGCAACTAGATCTGGATTGCAACTCTTATTTAAGAGAACAAAAGGAAGAGGCTGGTTTACAAGGCCCACAGGCTACAGGCACCTCCCTTATACATATAATATCTCAATGGCCTTCTCCTAATACATGACTTGTATAATCATGAGATAAGCTAACCCTCTTCACTCGTTCATTCCAAGATGATTTTCATTGCAACCGTAGAACAGCAACCACTTGTTGCGACCAAATTCAGTTGCAGATCACTATGAAATCTTAGATGGGACCACAGAAAACCTCAAATTCTCAACCATCTATCTGAGCATTCAGCCCTGAACATGCCATGGCAATTGATGCTGTCAATCTCAAGATCACTTGTCAGCTTATTCAAACTCAACATAGTATCTGCCTCAGCAAATAAATCAATGTAGGCACCAAACATGTGAACTGTCCCATTTCTAATTCTCTGATGCCTATACCAAGCCACTAGTATTTTCACACTGGTACTGGTAAACCATAATTGAGGAATGATCTAATCCTTCCATCCAACCCTGCTGTCACTATAACGAGACCCCACGCGTGAGAATTAACTGTACTCTGGCATGAAGTTTTCATAAACTTGTACTGCGACTTATGCATTGAAGATGACACAGACAATGGACTGGACGGCAGAAGTGTTTCCTCTGGCCAAGTTGCAGATCCCTTGGGAAAAGACTCCAAAAAATATTCATGGTTCAGAGAGAAATAAGGTGAGGAAAATGGCAGGTTATTGTGTAAATTCTCATTCAATACTTCAAATTGCCTTCTGGTTTCTGCATTCCCATATTTCAGGCCACACCAAGGGATTGCAATGGATGCATTAGCAGAGAAGCGCTCACAAGATCTTATATCTTTAGCCTGAGAGAGAGTAGGCTCATCCATATCAACACAATTCCATATATAAACATTAGCATCCTCACAAGCTGAAACAAAATGCTTCCCGTCAGCAGTTAGTGATGTGAATGTCTGGTTTCCATTGGTATGTGCTCCTGAGGAGTCAGAAAGAGACATGTTAAATTAGGAGAAGAATAAGGGTAAGGTGCACAAAGACTGTGTTTCAGATTCAGTGTTCAATAAATGTAAGAAACAGAGGCGTCCAATTGCCCAGGTGATGAGTTGGAGCAAACCATCTATTATAGGATTAAAAGTTTAGAGAACAACAGGAATATACCCCTGTATTTGCAGATCACATTCAGCCCTTGAAGAATTCTGACTTGTGAATCAGCACAAGTAACCATTACTTTGCTTGAATCTTGGGGCAAAAACTGGAATGAAAAATATATAATGAGTGAAAACTGCACATCTCAGCTATTAAGACAAGCCTTAAGTGAAGCAAAAGCGGGGATGAGACTATCTACCTGCAGGCCAGTTATCCTTCGGCAGGGTGACTTCTTTTTCCCATTTAAGCATATACGAGCATCCAGGTGCAAATGGTTGTCTGAATAAAGCAACATAAAAATTGGTTTGTTTAAGAATCCATCCAACTGTAAATGCTGTTTCATGAAAGAAACATATTTCTGAAGCCTATGCCAACCATTTCAAGTTCAGATGAAAGTCCAAATTGTTACATCTGTTAGCTATGGCTATTCACTTTCTTTCCAATGCATAGCACAAAATTTGGCATAAGGCTTCTAAATCACTTCAAAAGAAGCATTTCATTTCTGAAACCAGGGAAGTGCAAAGCTAAGTACAAGGATTCTGTTTGACAGGTATATTATTCACATCAGCTTCTTCAGCTGCTAGGTAATTTATCTAACAAATCCCTACTTGCACCACTAGTAGTAAAGGGCATGTTTTTTGAATCCAGCTAATGCCTATTATTTTTAAATCTAAGAATTTTACAAGCTTGCCCACTAGATAATTTATTGTCCTCCGCATGGTTTTTAAAATTTTTTCTATGACAAGTTCTAAGAAACATACCAAAAGTGCTCCTTTTGATAAAAGTTATCTCTGATATGCCTATCAACTGTTTATATCATTCATAAACCCAATGAATAGAAATCGACCAATCACATGAATAAATATGAACCCCTATCAGAGGGAGCATACCTGACATATTGTAAAAGCGACAATTGCCTTTCATTGAGCCAACAATTGCTCCCTGCATAAATAGGAAAAAAAAAAGATTTTTTAAATCAAATTTCAAACAACTCGACCTTGTGGCTGTAATCCCCTAGAAGACAAAGGAGCAAGAAAATAACCAAACCTGTCCATCTGGGCGATAACACACTGCAGTAACTATATCTCTTATATCAGTCCAGTCAACGACCTGGTAGCCAGAAATTGCCCAAATGCGCAATTTTCCATCTATTGAACCGCTAATGAAGTAATTGTCATCCACAGGATTAAACTGAACACAGGTTACTGCATCATATTATGAGAGGCAATCCTTTATCAGTAGTTGGGACAAGATCATGCCCAAAATACAACAAAACTTAGAGATACTTCAATTAGATAATTACATGTTAAGTAATGCACGCACAGAGATAGAGAGAGAATCAGCCAGAAGCGCACCATAATTACAATGAGAAAACACTCTGAGACAATGGTCACATCCAACTCGCCACATACAAACAGTTTTATCAACTGAGGAAGACAGCAGAAACTGCAACATGAACACAAAGTGAGACATATTAAATGAGACTCTTAGATGAAAATTTTTCTTTTCCCTTTTCTCTTATTTGGTGATGATTAAAACATGTAAATAAATCTGTTGACTCACATTTTTCTTTGACCATGAGAGATCCAAGATCTCACCACCATGCCCAAGAAACTCATGCAATGGTTTCTCCAAAAGCCGGAAAACTTTGGGAGGGAAGATAACGCATGCTGAATCAGAAGCTTTTCTCAGGCTCCTTAAATTGCCTGCTTTTTCCTTATCAACAAAGAGGGGTTTAAATTCGGAAAGATGATTCACTGTGAAGTATATGCAGGAAGGATCTATTTCTGGAATGTCAAGGCCATTGCACCTCTGATCTTCAACCACTTGCCACACTCGCACAACACCATCTTCACCAGCACTTGCTAGGTACTGCCCATCAGGACTGAACTTCATTGTCAAAATTGAACCTTCATGAGCCCGGATATCTTGTCCCTTATAGAGTGCAGAAAGTTCATTTGTTCTTTTCCTGATTTGGTGGACCTTAACTCTTTGAACCTTAGTCCCCAGAATTGAATCATCTCTATTGGCTCTCAATCTATCATTTTCAACCTGTCTATCCACAACGCATGCTATTGAACGCAATTTACTCAACCATCTGTTCTTAACTCTCTTTGCTATTTTCTCTGACTTATTCTGCTTCTCAACTCCCCTCTCCCTAACTTGCTGAAATGAGGGCGATAGCACACGAAGATTCTTGGACTTCTTGCCTGTTACCAACTGCTCTGCACTCACTTCACAACCTTCACTTGTCTTCCCATCCTGCCACACTCCATCAGCATCACACACTGCTCCCCCACCCTCGTTTCCTTCTCTACACACAAAATTATCTTGCGAACTTGACTCCTTCGACAAACCAGAATTATCATTAGACCAAGAAGACATGCAAGAATGACTTGAAGAAAACTCCTCTTCAAAGCCGGATGTTCTCAAAACAGCATCACTGGTTTCCCTAACCCTGTCAAATTCTCCTTCCAAGCTAGGTTCATCTACCGAATTCTCTCGCGATAATTGATCTAAACTCACTCCAATCCAATCCAAGAATTTACTTCGGCGTTCCTTAACACTTTGTGGGCTACTAATCCATACATCATATCGGAAACTACACTTAGACCAATTATCAAAACAAGAATTTGAATGAGGAATCTCTACGTAATTAGAATATAAACCAGGCATTGTTGCAATGTGCTCATAAGCATCAAAAAATGAAGATTCTTCATCTTCTTTTAAGCTACCCATTGTTCTTTGAGTTCAACCTATGAAACCCTCCTCAGACGAAATAAAAACTTTTTTTAAGCCCTCAGCAATGTGGCAGATTCTAAATTCCTTCCACACAAGCAACCCCAGCAAAAAAACAAAAAAAAAAAAGGCTGAAAAGAAAATGCAAAAACACAAGAAACACGAAACACAAGATCAGTTTAACAGAAACAAAGAACAATTAAACAAATGAGTTGATAACAATACCCAAAAAAAAAAGAAAAAACCCAAGAGATCCAACATGGATCCCAATCCAAACCCATCGAACCTGGTCCTTTCCATCGAATAAAAAAATCCAAATCTTAATATAGAAACGAAAAGTTTTCTAGTAACAAAAAAGAACCCAAATTTTTGCAACAAATTAAGGGGCCTAAACAGTTTTCAGCACACAGAGATCAAATCCCATTGACAGAAATTGAAGTTCTCACAATTACATTTGAAAAAATGTAATAAACCAGGAAAGAAAAAAAAAAGACATTAAGAAAATATCATTACCAAGTGATTAATTAAGCAAAGGGGAGATTTTGTTATATATATATATATATAATAAAGGAATATAAAATTGGCTGACATGGGGATTGGGCTCGTTTTCTATGAGATTCCTTTGATTCTGAAGGTGGCATAGGACGAAGCATCCAATAAAAATGTTTTTGGAGCTTTTTAAATTCTCTCTCTCTCTCTTGGGGAAGCAAAGGGCGCACAGGATAGAAAAGAAATAAAATAAAATCTACTGTTTAAAAAATAAATAAAATAATGAATACAAATATAATATGAAAAAGCGTTAAATACAATAATATTATATGTTTTCTGTCGATTTGATATTTTAAAAAATAAAATTTATATTTATTTTATTATATATTTTGATATTTCATATTAATAGCATTAGTTAAATTATTTATGTAACATTAATATTTAATAAAATCTTGATAAATGATAATAAAATATCTAATCATCCTTATATCATTTATAGATTCACTGTCATGTCAATATTTAAATAAAAAATTTATAAAAATTTAAAAAATGTATGAAAAATTAAAAATTTTCAAATATAAAAATCTGATTTTTTTTAATTCATAAAATATTATTGTCAGGTCAGTATGCCATTATAGACTAATAATTAGGTAAAAAACAATTATTCAAATTTTAGTAATTATATTAAAATTTTAATAATTTAGGGGTCATTTTAAAAACTCAATTATAATTGAGTGATCAATAATGTAATTTATTCTATTATTTAAGATTTTTTTTAATTTAAAAAACTATTTTCATTCAATTTCAAAAAACAATACATTAATTACATATTTTAAATATTATTTTAATTAATATCACCAGATATTGATTAATTTATAAATCTATATATTTGGTTTTATAAAAAATGAAAAAAAAAGGTGTCCACGTAATATCTTATTCTTCCTCCAATCTTTATTTATTTTATTTTATGTATTATTAGATTTATTTATTATTTATTTGTTTTATAATTTTTTAGCTTTTTTGTTTGATTTTTGTTTTATTTTTTATTAGATAAACTTTGTAAAAAAAGTTGATAAAAATAAAGATGATAAAACAAATTTTACCCGTTTCATTTTGATTCATATCGATTCAATATAAATGTTTTTTTTTTTAAATCAAGATTAAGTTGAAATTTTTTTAAATGAGATCAGATTAAAAATGGATATAAAGTTTTTTGTCTCATTTTAGATGTCTACGTGACACTTCTCTCCTTCAATTTTTTTTTTATTTTCTTTGTTTTTTTAAAAAACTTTTGCTTTTTGCTTTTTATTTTTTTTCTTTTTATAAATTTTTTTTATTTTTTATTAGATAAATTTTATATTAAAAAAGTCATTTAAGTAGAGATAATAGAATAATTCATAAATGATGGATTTCAATTCCTCTTAATACAATTGGTGTATTTTCTTTTAATTCAAGATAATTAAGGTGAGTTTATTTTTTATTTTAATTGAGCATGGGTAAAATTAAGGTTTTTGGTATCACGCTTCATTCTTATATATAAAAATATATTTTTATTATTTATATATTTTTATATATTTTTATTAAAAAATATTATTTAATAATTTAATTAATAAATCACGTGAGATTTCATTTTGCTTTTTTTTAAAAAATTTTATTTATTAGATAAATTTTATAAAAAAAAAGTCAATAGATATAGAGATAATATAATAACTTATATCTGATAGATTTTGATTTGATACAATTTAATTAATACGATTTTTTTAAATAAAGATTGGCTTAAATTTTGTCTTTTTAAACAATTTTAGTGAATTCCAGTTTCGAATGTTTTACCTTGACCTTCCTTGAAATGTATAAAAAATATATTTTATTATTTATTTATTATATTATTATATTAATAAAAATATTATTTAGTATCTTAATTTAATAAAAAAATTACATTTATATATAATTAAATTATAATTTATATTAAAAATAAATATATATTTATATTATCTATACAATCTCATCCATTAAAATTTAATATAAAAATTTTAATTTTTTATATTTAAAATATAATTTAAAAAATAAAAAATAATCTAAAAGTGCGTATCAAATTCTAATAAAGCATAATATTTGTATAATCAAATTTCAAAAAAGGAAATTAATAAGCTGAGAATGGAAAAATGGTGATAATCCGAAAATGGGGTGGTCAATAGTCAGAGAGGAGCCTCTCCTTCGCCGATCGGCCTAAAGTTTCATCCGTGATTCCTCTGTTCGTCTTCAATCTCTCTCAAGTTGATGTCTTCGAATTTGGTGACCAACCTTCATCCTTCTTTCCCTAGCTCAAAAATCACCCCGTCAACGTGCAAACCCTTCAATCATTCTATAACGTGCAACTTCAATTGGACCCCATCCCAAAATTATGTGTTATATTCCTAATAATTGATAATTGAAAGTATGATATTTGTAGGGTCGGTAACCCAATTCGTTTTTGACGAATTTTGATCTAATTCGACTTCATATGATTTTTTTTTAATTGAGTTTCGAGTCGGGTATTGCTAAAAAAAAGTCAAAGTTGGATCGGATTTAGGATTATATAAAAATTAATTTTTTAATTTTTTATTTATATATATTTATATAATTATATATTTAAATATTTATATTTAAAAATAATATTTTATTAATTTTAGATCAGATCAGATCACGTACGGTTTATACAATATCAAATCGGAATCAAATATGAAAAAAATAAAAAAAAAATTGGATCGAGTCAAGTTCGGAGCGAATAAAAACACGTTTCGATCCAACCCGTTACCAACCCTAATATATGATTATTGTATGCTGTTGACACAGCATAATTGGACTATTTTATTCAATTATAATTGAAAATAATGAATTATTATAAGGTTAGAAGGTAATTCACTCAATCAAATTATTGAATAATTTAGCATATCCTGTTGATATTACCTTTTTCAAAAATATATATAAATCAATTGATTTAAATTTTGTATTTAATTTAGTAAAATTTCTTGTCTCCGTCAAAACCAAACAAAACCTAAAAAAAAAAAGTCGGAAAAGCAAAAGTTACCCTTGTTTCTAATTGATCCAACATTGCACTTAAGTTAGGTTTGGTTAGTGTTGAATTATATCACTATTTAAATTCGAAAGTGATTTAGTCATTTGTCTTAAAGCATAAGAGATACTTGTCAAAAGGATTACAACTTTCATTATTGGTCATTATTATATGGACATCAAGGTAAGAAATGAAGGAAGTTGGTAATGAAAGATACCCCATTACTAAGACAAGAAGACACAAACTAGACAATGGTTCAGTTAATTCTACATCCACCTTTCCCTTAAAAAGACTTTATTATTTGAAAAGTAAAGTGAAAATAGACAACTTTCGTAATAAGGACATCCTAATTCTAAGACAAGAAAACACTGATTATACAAATGATTCAGGTACTTCTGAATCTACCCTTTCCCATCAAAATTCAAAACCTTTTGTTTCAAACTTTTAGTATCATGCTTGCACAAATCAAAAGAACACCTTTTGTTTCACGGTGTAAATAGGGCAATAGGCAAGTCATAATCTACAGGATTAATTATTGATTATGACCTTTTTCTTTTTACCAACAATAATTGCAAATTGTCAATGGAATTCTTAGTTTAACAATTTATCTCATACATGGAAACATGGGAAAAGAATAGTAGGTTTACATTAACTATGATTTCTTATTTTGCATTAGGAAGATCAAAGAGAACTTAATTGAATTGGCATACATTCAATATCGTAGTTTAAAGATTAAAAAATGATTGTAGGTGATAAAATTTGAATTTTAAATATTTTTTAAAATAATTATATACATCGATTGATCTAATTATTAAAAATTTATTTTATTTATTTATTTATTTATTAATACATGTAGGAAGAAAGGATAAATCAAGCATTCAAATCACGAAATTCAATTTTTTTAAAAATGGTAACTATTAAGATCCTATTTTGATGTTTAAGATGAATGATGAAATATAATAAAATATAGTTAAATACATTTATCACACATTAGCTTTTGTAAAACTTGAGTATTTTGTTTAATGATTGTTGCATTTTTTTTCTCTTAAAAGAATTAGTTCGAATATTTCCATCTTTTTTATGAAAAAATATATATCTTTATAGGATTAAAAAAATTCCAATGCAAGAGAGAAAGAGAAAGATTCATGATCTCTTACCTATAGATTGAGAGAGAGTATAAGTTAAAACAATGCATCAACTATATACATATACACGAAGAAAAAAACTAAATGTATCTAGCTAATTGGACCATAATATACACTTTAAACAATTTTTTTTTTAAGTTATAATTTAAAGATAGAGTAATATGTTGTAAATGTTGAAATTTGAATTTTAAATTTATTATATATAATTTTTTAAAAATAATTATATGAAATAATTAAATTAAATCTTTAATTCACATTTAACAACTTTGAGCTAATATTACATGTTTAATTTAATTAACTAGTTTTAAACTAAAATTAAACACACTTCTTGTGAATGATTTGGTTGTGCATAGCTTGGCCAATAAATGCCATTAATTGTTTCATTTTAGTCAACTTTATTTTAATAATAATAATAATAATAATAATAATTTTTT